ATAGTGGCATGAAAACAGACACTTGGACCAATGGAGCTAAATAGAGAACCTAGAAATCAACCCACATACTTACAGCCACCTGATCTCTGACAAAAGCACCAAGAACATATATTGAGGAAAGGACGCTTCTTCGATAAACCATGCTGGAAAAACTGGATATCTATGTGTAAAAGTATAAAACTAGACCTGTACCTCTTGCTATATACCAAAATCAACTCAAAATGGATTAAAGACTTAAATATGAGACCTGAAACCATATAACTCCTAGAAGAAAACATAGGGGAAACACTTCAGGATATAGGACTAGGCAAAGACTTTACAAATAATACTCCAAAAGCACAGACGACAAAAGAAAAAATGAACAAATGGGATTATATTACACTAAAAAGCTTCTGCACAGCAAAAGAAACAAGAGTAAAAAGAAAACCTACAGAATGAGAGAACATGTTTGCAAACTATATATCTGACAAGGGATTAATATCCAGAATATATAAGGAACTCAACATTAAAAAACAAACAAAAAAAGTAACCCAATTAAAAAAATGGGCAAAAAGGAGTTCAGTAGACATTTCTCAAAGGAAGACATACAAATAGCCAATGGATACATGAACAAATGCTCAATATCACTAATCAGGGAAATGCAAATGAAAACCACATTGAGATATCATCTCACCCAGTTAGACTGGCTATTATCAAATAGACAGAGAATAACAAATGCTGGTGTGAATGTGGAGAAAGGGGAAAACTTCTACACTGTTGGTGGGACTGTAAATTAGTGCAGATATTAGAGAAAAAGATATGGAGTTTTCCCAAACAACTACAGATAGAACGACTATCTGATCCAGCAATCCTACCCCTGGGTATATACCCAAAGGAATGGAAATCATCATGTCGAAGGAACACCTGCATGCCCATGTTTGTCACCGCTCTATTTACAACAGCCAAGATATGGAACCAACCTAAATGCCCATCAGTGAACAACTGGATAAGGGAAATGTGGTATATACACACAATGGAATATTAGTCAGCCATAAAGAAGAATGAAATTCCGCTAATTGTAGCAACATGGATGAGCTTGGAGAAAACTATGTTAAGTAAAACAAGCCAGAAACACAAAGAGAAATGCTGCATGTCCATAAGTGGGAGCTAAAAATTTAATAAGAAAGAAAAAACAATCAATAATGCATTGAGCTTTCAAAAAGAGAGAACAGAACTGAGGTTACTATGTGGGGGGGGGAAGCAAAGAGGAAGGGGGAGAGGGTTAGTGAGAAATTAAGGTTAAGGGTCACCAAGAATGATTATGCTGTGTAATACTGAATATACTAATTATCCTGACTTGAACATCATGTATTGTACACAGGTACTGATATTCTGTACCCCACAGATATGTATAATCAATTATGTTTCAAAAAAACTATGCATATGATATTAAAAAAAATACAAAAAAAAATCTTGATACAGAGAGGTTAAGGGAGGGAAAAAAGTAAAGGAGGTTGGGGGAATAGCTGTCCATGTTCTTGTGAGCACCTGGTCTTGTCACCAGGAGCAAAGCAAATTCATGGCCCTAGAATGTCCCTTTAAAAAAGTTTTCTCCACTCCCACATCCTTAGGCTTACCTTTTGCCATCTTGTGGATTCCTTCCCCTTTTGAATCTGTTCTTGATATTCATTGCTTCTTAATTTTTAAATAGGATAAGAATGTTGTTGGGGGTGAGGGAGGCTGGTGGGAAGAGGAGGAGTTTGTCCTGGCCCCAGATGCCTTAGGGCTGGGTCCGGCTATGCCCAGGGCTCCTCTCTCCATGCTTCCTGCAACTCCCCCTGTCAGAAGAAAAACTGGGGAGATACTAGAAGGTAAGGACAGGGTGGTGGAGTGTGAGCAGGTATTTGTGTACCTGTTATAGAGTTACGTGCTTTACTTCATCAGGCTGAACCTTCATTTCACATGTGGAGAAAAAACCTAAAGATTAGTATATTATCAGTCATCCAACTAGTAAATTTTGGAACTTGAAGTCAAAACCAGGTCTGCCTCCTGCTAATAAACCAACTGGTATTGACAATTAAGCTCAGGTGTCCCCGCTGTACAAGAAGCCTCCACTCTAAGCTGGGATTTTCTCCCTACTCATCTGAATATGAGTGTCCCTGTGCCTACCAAGCGAGATGCCAGGCTCTGTGCCAAAACTTCTTTTCAGCTCTTCAGAAGAACAAACACCCTTCTTTTCCCAGATGGGTTGAAAATGGTGCTTTTGTACTCATGGTAAGCCTTTTATCAGAGGCTCTCGCCCTATAGAAGGCAGCTCATCGAGTGTGTGCCAGGGGCACGTCCTCTTGCCTCCCTGCCCTTAGAAGAGCTTTGAGTTCAGCACTGAACCCTGGATGTGCCATAAAAGTGCTGTGCATACTGATTGAGCATGCTCTGTGGTTTTGGAGACAAGAACGTTGTAACTGGAGAATCCTCAGATATGACAGAGAGATGGTCCCCTGTTACACAGAATAGGGGTGACGGTCTCTTGTAGCTTAGGGATGTGCCCAGGGTCAATGTTGGTGTGCTTTTTCATAGCTAATAACTTCTCCTTTGCACTTGACTCTTCTTCAGCTGATTCCCCCAGCTAGTCAGTGTCTCCTGCAGGGGCTGCAGGTATATAGGAAGACACTTATCCTGACTGCTGCTCTGTTTCTCTGTGGCCTTAGACAAGTCTCTTAACTTCACCTGTAGTTTGTCACACGACAAGATGAGGCTGGCTGGCACTCCAAGAGGCTTTCTACTTCAGTGATTCTAATATGTTTGGGTAGGTGAACTATTTAGATAAATTAAGGTGATTGATGGTGGAACCTTCCCTTCTGGACTTTCCTCTGAGATGATAAAGCTTTACCAGACTTTATGGTTGATACTTTATATGCCTTAGAAGGGTAAGCCAATTAGGGATTATTAGCCTGCATATATGTTTAAATCCTCTTTCACAGAAAATAATGCAGAATTTAAAGCTTAACTGATATTTGGCACAGTTTTAAGTATTATTTACCAAACTAGACATAGCTAGTCTAATCCATTTAGAACATTAAGAGTAGAACTACATAGGCTTCATGAAAGAAAGGAGTCTTGATGCTTCTTCACAATCTTTGGAAAGCAACTCAGCTGGCAGCTGGCTTTTCTTGGTATTTTAAAAGGGCATATAATAAGCTTAAATAGAAGTTTATGTGGTAGTTTTCTTCTGGTTGTTTGTTTGCTTTTAAACTAGAATGCTATACCTTGCATTTTCTTTTCTCTTGATTTTCAAATCTCTGCCTGTCCCTTAAAACCACCTCCATTCACAAGTCTGATCTATTTATGTGGTTTTATGTGATTGGTGTTTATTCGGATAATCTTAGGTAGCAGAAGAGGAATGTATTTAATCATCTAACCTTTACAATAAGGAACATTTGAAATGTCAGCATTTTATTTCAGGAACAGGTGAGCTATTGCATTATAAGTGTTTTATTTACTTATTTACACCTTGCGTCTATCCGAAAAAGAATTTGAAACAGCTTATAACAGCTTATAATAAAGGGTAAAAAAAAATAAGGGGAGAAAAAAAAAAGATGAAAGAGGAGGCAGAGTAAATATTCCAACCAGAAAAGTCAACACAGTTGCTGTGATGGAATATAAACCTGTGTCTAAGATTCTTGGAAACAGGGCAAGAAACGTTATATAAAGTTTGGAATTCAAAAGGGAACGAGTTCCTCTGGTATAAAACCTATTTCTCTCATAGAGAACATTATACGAGGGGCGTTGGTTTAATGCTTTCAACAAATACTTCAGCACCTCTTATCTAGCGAGATAATGTGTCAGGTGCCAGAGGCAAAACTACATAGGTATGAATGCTCTTCTCCTGATGCACACAGTCTAGCAGGTGTGATAAATATTAAATCTATTGATATATAACAACTCATTCTTTACTTTCGTATCATCTATGGAAATAGCAACAATTCCTAAATTTGCTTAAATGTCTCTGGCTTACAATCCTTCCCTGTCTCCCTAATCTGAGACCTGAAGGACAAATAGGCATCAATCAGGTTAAGAGAGCAGGGAAATAGCCTGGTGGGCTGGGATTTCTCAGAGACTCATGTTCGTCTTTGTCAACATTGGTTATCGCTTCTCAATTCTGTTATTTGTAGACAAATAGAAGCCAGAGAGCCATGAGCCTGGGAGAAGAGAAATAGAGCAGAGACCAGAAAGGCGGGAGGTGGTGGCTGTCAGCCATGCCCCAACACACTAAATAAGCTCTACGTTATCCAAGTAAAAATGTGGATTTAAATAGACAGCTTCCACTTCTTGAGAAATATTGGCCTTTTATTTTGAAATTACTATGCTTAGTAAATTGCGTACTTTAAGTACCATTTTTTTTTTCTTCAAATAAAACCTGACAACCCTATGTCAGTTCCCCCAAACCATTGTATTTTGGAATATTTGCATGAAATCCAAGAAGCTGGGAAACACTGGTACACTAAGACCCTCAACAGATATGGCTGGAGAGACATAAGAGTAGTAAAGATTTAGAGGTGAAAGCATGATTTAGTGACCAGGTTTTCTCATGGAACTAAGTTAAGGTCTTCTGAGCACATAAACCACGGCTGCCCTTGATGATGATTCAGACTGAACACTGTACTAGGACACCCGGCGCATGGAGTGAGTAGAAATTAAAATCCAGTGCTGGTCCCTCTCACCAAATCATCTACCCTGGTATAAGGCAGGGTCTGCCTAGAGGAAGGGGAGCATTTTTCCTTATAGGAAGACACTGTGGCTGGTGTCAGCACACATTCCTCCAGTGGTCTAGCTTAATTCAGGGATGGAACTTAACAAGTCTGTAGGGATGGATATATGGAGTGCAATTAGAATCTCTGTGACGTTCTTTTAGCCAGGTAATTTTTAAAAAAAATGGATATGCCTATTCTTCATTCTACTGTAGTGGTGGTCTAAGTGCCAGCTGCGGCTGACTGATGATGGATCTATATGCACTGGACATTAAGCAGGCAAGTGGAAGAAGGAGTAGCAGCAAGCGAAGAAGGGGATGTCTTAATGTGCCAGTCACTGAGGTCAGTACTTCATTATTTTACATAAATAGTACCTAAGTTTACCAGTAGAATCCTGACAAATCAGGTCTATGAGAGAGTGAGGTTGCTTCTGAAAGAAAATATTAGCTTTAACTATAGCTGATTTTAAATTTAGTCCTTATTGGAGCAATATTTTTCTTCAGACCTCATTATAAAGCAAAGTAATGATAGTTCTGGCCAAAGGACTTTTCAGGGAGGGTACGGCCAGTTATCATCAACGGCGATGGAAAAAATTTTAACGGAAAAAAAAAAAAATGAGATCATGCTGTATTCACACTGAAACTCTCCCAACTACTTAACTGTATTGTTGAGAATAGATTTAAGCTAATTTGGCCATTTTACAATCATTAGGTTCTTTTTGTAGTTATCTGTTTCCAATGATTAGATTATTGGTGAGGTACTCACAATCTCTCTACTAAGTGGTATATCTCAGTCTGAATTCTGCCACACACACTATGGCAGCCATGAAAGTACTTGGTCTCCTGCTGTGGGGAGCATGATTGACTGGCGGTGGGAACTGTTAAGCTTCTGGATCTACCGCCTCATTTGCACTAAGCTTATGCTTCCACAGCTGTGGCTACTTCTGGCAAAATCACTGAGCATGTTTGGGTGTGTTAATGCAGGTCTTTTGGTACAAGATTTGACTCCTCAGTTCGGTGACTTTTGCATAAAGTCTCCCCATGGGTCTGGCTAAAATTTTTTTGGAACCCCACTGTAATCCAAGGCTCTTCCCACCTTATCCTCCTTTCTTCCCCATCACTATTACAAGGGTAAGAACTTCATCATGGTTTAAGGTTCTCCTTGCTTTCTTTAGCTCTCTCTCTTTTTCCTTCATGGGTATTCTCCCAACACATTTCCTGCAATAACCCTGTCTTGGCCTCTGCTTTTCAGAAGGACCCAAAATAACACACACATTTAGCAAGTGACTGTAAAGAGTCACAAAACCTGTTCATGCAAGCTCAGTGATGGTCAAGCTCTTGTCTTCTAGGTACTCGAAGTTACTTTCATGACAAGTTTACTAGAGACAGACGCTGAAATATTCTAGTGCTACCTACTCTTGTGGGTATGAGTTTCTTTTATACTCCTATCCATACAAGAACAGATGTGCTTGTGCCTTTCAGCATGAAAAAATATTTTGAGCATCTCTTATGCTAGTTAGCAAATCCTTCAATACTGATGGAGTTATCATTGAAGCATTTGGAGTAGCTCCTTCTAAAGTACAGACTCCTGCAGTGCTTCCTCTGAACAGGGTTTTTCAAAAATTAACCGCTGCTAGGGAACAGATTAAAACCAGTGCATGTACACATCACACAGTCTATGCTTAAGTATTTTAAATTAAATTACAGTGTAATATGAACTTTACCCATTCAGTAAACAGCATCATATCTAATGACTGCATAATGGTCAATTGCATGAAAATCCAACTTATTTTAATCAATTCTGCAAGACTGGGCATTTTTGGTTTCTAATTTTTAACTGTTAGTTTCTGATTTAGCAAAGTCTTTTTATATAGTTTGTACATTGTTCAACTTTCATAGAATATTTTCTAGAAGTAGAATTATTGGGCTAAAAAGTATGCTCAGTTTTAAGGTTTTTGATATTCATTGCCAAGAAGTCATCCAATTTATACTTTAACCATCATCACTGATGAGTAGGTTTTATTTCTTTTTATTTTCTGCATGTGAAATTATGCATAAAATATAAAGTAAAATCTAAAGAACAATTTAAAAAATAAACCTTGAATCCTCCATCAAGGTTATGAAATAGATTTGGAATTCTCCTGTTTCCCTCTCCACAGCCCTTCTGATACATCCCCTCCCCACATGTAACTAGTTTAGAAGTCAGAGTTAAGCATTTCCTTGACTTTCTTTATGGTTTTGATACTTTAATGATACTGTGCATTTATCTAACTATATATAACATTCCTAAATAATATTTAAAATTTAAAAACATGTATGGCAAATACAAAGCTACTTGTATGAAAAGAATACGGTCACTACAGTTAGCTAAAGGCTTCTAGGACAAGAGGAACCCAACAGTCTCTGGGTCTTGGGCTTCTGCATCCTGGGAGTTTACAAGAGGACCTTCTGGGGTATTCAGAGGGAGAGGCCATGAGTGAGTTTTAGGAAATCTGAGGCTCACCACAGTCTATGAGTTTGGAAGGGCTGGAGTGTGAACCAGATACTACACACACGATCAGCGGGAGTGGAATGAACTGCCCTGGTATTTCTTGCTTCTAAGCTCATGATGGCCTTGTTTAGTTCTCAGAAGCCAGTCAAAGCAGAACACTTTGGTGGAATGAAATAAATGTCCACAGCTAAGTGAGGCAGCAGGACCTGGAAAAAAGAGCAGAAAATTTATTAGCAATTTTTTAAGATCACCAGATTCTTATCTGGGCCAGGCTTCCCAGGGCATTCATTCAGGTTTTTAAAAAATGGTCATAACAGCTCACAGCATGTCTGTCTAGACTCACTGCTCCATCCAGTCTAGTTTCCAGCTAGCATTTTGGGATATCTGTTTATTTTCCTCCTGGGAATTAACTCCTCCCCTATTTGTAACTCCTGTTTCCTGCATCATGTCTTCACCTTTCTTGATTTGTACTTCATTTTGGAAGAGCACATTTTCCTGTAGCTTCTTGAGAAAAGGAGGACGGGAAGTATATTTATTTTTTTTGAGATCGTGCATATCAAAAAATGTCATTCTACCCTCATAAGGTTTGAAAGTTTGACTATAATTCTAGGTTACAGTAATCGTCCTTTAGAATTCTGGACATTACTGCATTTTCTTCTGATTTGCTAGTCATGCTGTTGCAAAGTCTGAAGCCACTATGATTCCCGATCCTTCATATCTGCTTTTTCTCCGGGAAGTGCTAGTGTCTTCTTTCACCCTAGTGTACTGAAATTTCAAAATGAAGTGTCCTTGTGTGGGTATTTTCATCCACCACTTCTATTCAGTAAGCCTTTTTCAGTAACAGCAATTTACTTTATATCATTCCGGGAAATTTTCTTGAATAATTTTGTTTTGTTTTCCTCTCTGTTTCCTCGTTTCTCTTTCTCTAGGTTTTCTGGAATTGGCATCCAATTTTATCTTTGTTTCCAACTTTCTGCCTCTGTGTCTTTTTACTCTACTGTCTAGGAGACTTCCTCTACTTTATCTTCTAACCCTTCCATGACTTCACTTCTGCTCTTATGTTCTTGATTCTGAGATGTCTTTTCTGTTCTCAATTATTTGTGGCATCCTGTTTCTCTTTTATGGATGCGGGATTTTCTTATTTCTCTGAGGATGTGAATAAACTTTTATTTCATTTGGTTTTGTTGATGTTCTCCCCCCCAACACACACATTATGTATTTACTTCATGATGTCTTTTTGTAGGGGAGGTTGGTTTTGTTTTAATTTCTATCTTCTGTGGTAGGAGCTTTCATCAGGGTATCTGATAATTCCTGAATGTTTGCTTAATATGAAGAATGAGAGGCTCTAGACAGCTCGTAGGAGGCTCTGAGAGCTTGGACTGTGAGCCCTGCTTATCGGCCTAGGTCACCGTAGGGTGATGGAGGCTGGGGGGTGGCAGGGGTGTCTGTGTTCAGTGTTAGGGATACACTGCACCACTTAATCCGAACCTGTACCTTGGCTCTCATCTGTGCCCGGACTGTCAGTCCAGACATTCTTGCTTTCAGTTTCTCCAGGGTACAAGTCTCCAGATTTCTCTCAGAGTGAGAAGGGAAAATTGCTCAGCAAAGTGGAGTGCAGGAGGGAATCTGGGAGGTTTAGCTTCTTAAGTAATACAATACAGTCTGACTCCCACCCCCCTTTTTTTTAATATTTGACTCCTGAGAGCTCTCAAGGCCCACCTTTTCCTTCTCCTTCTACCCCATATTTGGCCAAGCTGATTTGAAAGCCAGGGCACTTCTTCGCTTGGCAGGGCAGGAAGTTCAAACCACCTGGGAATGAACTCTTCCCTAGTTCCACTCTGTAATGCCAATAAAAACCAGGGCAACTTGCTCTGGCACTCTCCAAGGCGATTCCAGACCTGCCTGGGTGTTGTCCTGCCCTGCCTAGAAAGTTCCATGATGTAATACAATTTCTTCTTACCTCTCGGTATGTATATGGTGTCTTCAGTCAGAACAGCTCACCTATTAATTGGGAGTGGTCCATCCCACCTGTATTGAATGGCTGTAAGGAACAGCTTTCATATGAGGTTTTCTTACCTCAGTCTTCCTTTCACCTCCAGTTCCAAAGGCAGTTCCTATGCCTTTTAAGCACTGTGTTCTATAAATTGGTTGATTCATATTTTCACAGTACTAGCTACAGATTAGTTTCCTTGGGTCTACTAAGTCAGTTACTATTTGCCCATCTTTCTCTAGCTTCCAAAATTTTGCTGATTTTATTTTTTGCCTCTCCTGCTTTTCTGCTCCATGTTTTTCTTTTTTTAAAAAATTTCTGTCCTATATTTGTATTAAGTTAAGGAGGTAAGAAACAAAATTAGAGGCATGTGCTCAAGCTGCTATCTTAACCCAGAAATCCTGGGTGAGCTCATTTCTTCACATCTTGTCCACAATGGGTGCTATCTTTTCTTTTATTGCTATACTTCTGAAATGCATGCTATATTTAGTTCTAATTGCTCTGACAACTCAGATTATCCATATTATTAAATTCTGATCTAATCCACTGTTCACATGACTAACAGCCTAAAGTACAATTTCATGATTTGTGTTAGATTCTTACTTTCAGCCATTTGGTTTACCCTATATTTGCTTCCTTTTTTTAGTAGCACTCCATTGTAATGCAGATGGGAGGCATTACAATGTTCTAGAAACAAGCAGAAATGAAAATGAATTATCTATACCTATCTCTACTCCATTTGTGTGAGGGAAATGGAAAGATAATCAATTCATGGGTATCCATTTAAAGTAAAAGCCACTTCTCTTCTTGGTTATGAAAATTTGATCCATCTTTTGAGCAAATTTTGAAGTGATTTACAATT